CCCCTCCCCCTCCCCCCCACCTCCCCTCTCGAAAGACAAACATGTCGATCCCCGTCTTCTGGTCCTCGGAGCAGGCCCTGCCCGATGACACTGTCATGGTCGGCGGAGCCGAGTTCTCCAAGAACACCGTGGTCATGATCTCGCGGCTGAATGACGACCCGCCGCGGGCCTTCGAGAGCCTGGCCCAGCGTGTCCATCGCCCGGCACAGGCCTCCTATGTCGGCACCGCGCGCGAGAAGTCCCCCCGGCGGGTGACGGCCCTGTCGCAGATTTTCGACCACTCGCCGGTGGCCGAGCAGCACCAGCACCACCATGCCGGGCACCAGCATGGCAACCCGCACGAGGAGTTCCTGTGCGCCAGCGACGCGGACCTCCGCCAGCTGATGGTCAGCGAGATGGCCGCCGAGGTCATCCAGTTCACGTCGTCCTCTTTGAAGTTCGTCGTGCCGGCCTCCTTTGCCGAGGGTGTTTTTGCCTTCTACCTGGCGGACACCACGCGCAATGCCCGGAGCGCCGTGCGGCTGATCAACCGGCCGGTTGTTTGGTGGCTGCACAAGCGCGTGGCCCAGCCGGCCGGGTCTTTCCAGATCTTCGGCAAGGCCCTGGCCCCGTACTCGGGCATCGCCGCCCGGCGCGCGGCCGCCAGCACGGCCTCCCGGTCCGCGTCGCAGGATGACGCCGGCGAGCGCTGGTACGATGCCAGTGACGCGGCCGGTGTCGGGGCCGGGGCCCGGGCCCATGCCGCCGGCCCGAAGGCCGGCGCCGGCGCCGGCGCCGGCGCGGTGGCCCGCATCGCCGAACGCCTTGGCCATTTGGATCTGGGCCACCGGCAGCCGGCGGCCGCCGGCGGCGGGGGCGGCCGGGGGCTGCCCTCGACATCGGGCACGGCATCTCCGCCGGCGCTTCCGCCCCGGCGCCACCACTCCTTCGACGAGCAGCACCACGACGACGACGACTCCCCTGCTGCCACCACCGGCGGCGGCAACCTGGAGGATGACGGCGACATGCTGGCCGAGTCTTCGTCCGTGGAATCCTTCGTGCAGCTGACCCCGCCCGGGTCGGCGCGCGAGGGGGCCGTGGTGTGGGGCCGCGAGGCGGCCGTGGGCCGTCATTCCCAAGCCTCCGGCCTCTCTTCGTCCTCCTCCTCCTCGGGCAGCGTCGAGGCCCAGGCCAACCATGGCGTGCGCATCCGCTTTGTGCGCAAGAACGACGGCCTGACCCGTGTCTTCGTCCTGCAGGATGCCAGCATCAACCAGTACTACCTGACGATGCAGCTCCCGCGCGACATGCAAACCGGCGAGTGGTATGTCGACGTCCACAATGGGTGCGTGTGTTTTCCGCCGGCCCCCGGCCGTGTGTGTGTGTGTTTCCCCCTTCCTCTTGCCCCCCTTCCTCCTGCCTGCGCGATCGCAGACACGGCGGGGGATGCGCACCGATGGCCATCCCATCGTGTTCGGCCCCTTTCTGACGCGCCCCTCGCTCGATGTGGTGGACATGCGCATTCGTGGGGGGCCCTCTTTCCCTCCCCCGGCATGTATTCCCCCTCCCCCTCTCCCTCCCTCCCTCCCTCCAGCTTTGGCGGTCCGACCACCTGGACCCCCTGCCCGGATCTGCTGACCATCGCCAATTTGAATGACAACTGGCCGACCAAGGTCTTCAATGTCAAGGCCCTCGGTCTGGACAAGGCCCTGGCCGCGGCCAAGGACAATGGCGGCGGCGTGGTGTACTTCCCCTCGGGCAAGTACTGGTTCTCTTCGCCGATCACGGTTCCCCCCCGGACGACCCTCCTGGGCGAGGGGATGGACACGGTGTCGCTGAATTACAGCAATGCCAACAACCCGAACAACAGCTACCTGATCACCGGCACGTCCATGCGCGTGGAGCACTTGACCATCTACTGCATGTCGCCGTATGTCAATGTGTTCCTCTGCCCGCGCGGGTCTTCCGACTGCCGGTTCCTCAGCGTGCGCTTCCGGTCCAACTGCTACATGAAGATGTTCACCGGCGACCCGAGCGACCGGACGCAGCATCTCCGCAGCCGGTCGGTCTTCAACATGATGACCGACAACTTCGAGATCCGGGACTGCGACATCTACTGCAACAACTTCTGCCTCTTCCTGGAGGGTGCCAGTGACGGTGAGATTGTCAACAACAAGTTCTACTTCGGCGGCCAGGGATACAGCCTCAATGCCTGCGACCGGCTGTCCATCATCGGGAATTCCTTCATCGGCAACACCTTCGATGCTGTGGGCAATGGCATTAGCAGGTGAGTGATTTTGTCTTTACTTGCTCTGCGGCGGGGGGGGGGGGGGGGCCTGCTCTCTCCTCTCTTCCCCTTTCTTCACCAACGGGGGGGGGGGGCGGGTTGCCTGCCTGTGGTGTCGCCCCCTCCCCTCTCCGCCCCTTCCGCCAGAGACACATTCCCCATGATGTATACTGACACAGCCGCCCGCCACGATGCCCACCCCCACCTCCCGCCCCTCCGCGCTCAGCAACTCCTACAACATGAACAAGAAGTACTCCGAGCGCATCTTCTACTTCGACAACTTCCACCAGCATGTGTACGGCAACAACCGCGAGATCATGACCCTGGATGGGGCCGGCGGGTGCTACTATGGCGGGGTGTCGGCCGTCCGGGGCAACACCGTCACCATCAGCGGCAACCCCAACTACAAGCCGGACACCATGCCGGACACCATCAAGCGCGACTGGCGCAACGGCATGATGGCCATCATCAAGGGCAAGGGCGCCGGCCAATACCGGCGCATTGTGTCCAGCACCGACAAGGAGTGGGTCTTGGATGAGCCCTTCGTCGTGACCCCGGACTCCAGCAGTGTCATCACCATCACCTACTACCGCGGGCACTACCTCTTCCTGGGCAATGTCTGGGAGGATGGCGGCCCGGTGCAGCTGTACGGCTGCGCCATGGAGTGCGTGGTGGCCGAGAATGTGGGCCGGCGCATGGGCGGCTTTGCCAACTGGTCGCTGGACCCGCATAACATGGGCCTGCAGCCGTCCTTCAACAATGTCTTCAGCGAGAACCTCGTGGAGGAGGGCCTCGGCTTCGGGACCGACTACTCGGTCTTCTGGTGCACGGGCTTCCACGCGGTCCCGGATGAGCACATCACCCGGTTCATCGAGTGGCGCCGCAACCACTCCCTCAACAACGCCTACTTCCGGAGCACCAAGAACATGACCGACTGTGTCTTCGAGAAGAACGACTTCCGCAACGCCGACCTCTTCATGAACACCAAGGAGATCACCAGCAAGGATTGCGTCCTGCGCAAGAACAAGCTGACCAACATCCCGCGTCTGATCGACGGCCCGGGGGCCACCCTGTGGAAGATCATCATCTAAGCGGGTGCGGGAGGAGGGGGGGGGGCCGGAGCGCCATGCCAATGCGCGGCATTCTGTGTGCGTGTGCATGTGCTGCTCTCTCCCCCCTCTTCCGGCCTCGCCCCGCGTGTGTCTCCCGGGGGCCTTCTTCTCCTTCGGGGGCGAAAAGGGCACACGAGCATATCTATCCTCCCTGCACACTTCCTCTTTGCTCTCCTCCCCCCCCCCCTCTTTTTGTACCATATAGTCTCCCCTCTTCTTGCGCGCGCGCGCATCCCCCATTCCCAGGCCAAAAAGACAAAAAATATATCCCTCTTTTTCTCTCCCCCACGGAGCATCCCAGCGGCTTTTATGTTTTTCTGTTGTGTTTCCTGCGTCGTGTGCAGCATCCGATGGACAGAAGCGGGAAGAGGGGTAGGGGGGGGGAGAGCGAAAGAGAGAAAGTGCCTTCAGCACAGGAAGATGATGACCCTCTCCTGCACCTGCCCAATGTCCGATGGTCAAGCAAACGAGGAGGGCATGGAAGGGCATCCGCGGCCGGTTGTCCTCGACAACCTCTCGGACGCGCCGCCTGGCCTCTCAAAGCACCTCCGATAGCCCCGATTGTCCCTGCCGGTTTCGATACTGCCATGTCTCTTCGCCCTTTCCCCCCTCCCCCTCCCACGTCCCACTGAATGCAGTCCGCCCCCCGCCCGTCGCACCCCCCGTGCAATCCATGCGCACACACACACACACACACACACACAACGCGCTGGGCCGAGAAGGGGAGCGCGGCAAGAAAAGCAAGATCGGAAGAGGGAAGCTGCATTATTGTGAAAAGAACACAATCTCAAGGACAGACGCGCGCGCGTGCGCGCACGCGTGCGCGCGCGCGGCGAGAGGCGGGAGACCGGACAGACAGGGGCGCGGAGGGGAAGGGCGGAACACACCAGGGGGGAGCAGGAGGAGGCCAAGGGAGGCAGGCGCGGACGAAAGGACGCCATCAAGCGAAAGGAAGGGGAAGAAACTAAGCTCGCAGGCCCTTCTCTCTCTCTCTCGCTCCCTCGTGCCCCCTCTGATGCCCCCCTCCGTCTCCCCTGATCCCCGATCACCAAGATGCAGGGGGGGGGAGCGCACACACACACACACACATACACGCGCACACGCCTCTCAGAAGTAGCTCTCGCGGTGCCGGCGCAGCTGGTTGACCACACGGATCTGAGTACGCACATCGGAGATGGCGGTCTCCCACAGGAGCCGGCCCCGGGTGACGGACTCCGTCTCGATCGGGGGGACCTTCTTCTCGGAGATGGGGATCACCCGCACCACCAGGCCCAGGGGCCAGGACAGGAAGCCGATGCCAATGCAAATGAGCCACTGGTACCAGTTGAGCGGGTGCGTGCGGAAGGCCGCCCCGCCGAACTCCACCACCAGCACCTGGATGGCCACGGTCAGCAGCATGATCAGGATGAAGGACAGGTGGCGGTGCAGGCCGCGGAAGATATTCACCGACCGGTCCAACACACGGCAGTTGACCTCGTTGAAGAACTGCATGAAGACGAAGGTGTTGAAGACAATGGTCCGGTGGACACCGCGGTCCACGCTGCTGGTGCTGTCCAGGTCAAACAGCCCAAAGCCCAGGTAGTAGAGGATGAAGCACACCAGCAGCTGGAAGGCCGACTGGCCGAGGATGTTCTTCCACATCTGCCGGGAAATGAGCGACCCGGTCTTCGGGTGCGGCGGGCGCTGGAGCAGCTCGTCGGTCGGCGGCTCGGTGGCCAGGGCCAGCGCGGCCAGCGTGTCCATGATGAGGTTCACCCAGAGCAGCTGCACGGCCGACAGGACGGCCGTGCCGTCCGGATCGGAAATGGCACTCACGAAGGACAGCGTCACGGCCACCACATTGATGGTGAGCTGGAATTGCAGGAACTTGCGCACCGCGTCGAAGACACCACGGCCCCACACCACGGCGCGGACGATGGACGCGAAGTTGTCATCCATCAGGATGATGTGAGCCGCCTCCTTGGCCACCTCGGTACCGGCAATGCCCATGGCGAAGCCGACATTGGCCAGCTTCAGGGCCGGGCCGTCGTTGGTCCCGTCACCGGTGACCGCCACCACGTGGCCCATCTCCTTCAGGTGCCGGACCAGCAGCTGCTTGTCGGTGGGCGACGACCGGGCCAGGACCTCGAGGCTCGGCAGGATGCGGCTCATCTGCAGCGGGTTCAGCCGGCGGAACACCTGGCCCTCCATGACGATGCCGGTGGGGCTGAGGATGCCGCACTCGCGGGCGATGGCCCGCGCGGTCATCAGGTTGTCGCCGGTGACCATGCGCACGCGGATGCCGGCCTGCTGGCACTGGCGCACGGCGTGCGGCACCTCCGGACGCAGGGGGTCCTGGATGCCGACAATGCCGATGAGCGTCATGTTGGCCTCGGAGGGGAACTCGTCGTCAGTGAGCGACTCGATTTCTGCATGTATATGTGCGCGCGGGGGGTGGGGGTGGGGGGGGGGGGATCAGAGGTCAGTGGGGGGGCCCGTAGCCTCAGGCGTATGCCAAGAGCGGGAGGGGTGCAGGAGAGAGGGAGAGAGAAGCAAAAAGAGACAGAAAAAGAGAGGGAGAGAGAGAAAGAGAAACGGCTGGCGGGCGCTGGCGAGAGCAGACCCAAATGCAAGCACGCACCGTCCGCCTCGAAATCCCGGTATGCCATGCAAATGGCACGCAGGGCATTGTTGGCGAAGGACTCGATCGACACCAGGTACGAGCGGATGATCTCCTCGGTCATGGGGGCCACATAGTAGGGGGCATGGTCGGCCGCATTGCCGGCGGCGGCGGCTCCCTCGCCGATGGCCACCGAGGACGACCGGGAAATGGACACCGACCCGGGGAGCGGGTCCGGCGACAGGTACGACAGGCAGTTGGCCAGAACCATCTCCGCGGCACCCTTGCAGTAGAGACGGTACTTGCCGTTGTTCAGCCGCACGACGGTGGACATGCGCTTGCGATCCGAGGAGAAGGGCACCAGCCGGACAATCGGGTTGGCCTGGCGCACGATCGAGTAGTCGAAGCCGGCCGCCGCGCGAATGTACTCCAGAAGAGCCACCTCGGTCTTGGACCCGAGGAAGGTCGTCACACCGTCCTCGACGGTCTCGGCGGCGTTGGAGTTGATGCAAATCCCGTGGGCAAGGATCTCGGTCAGCCCGGTGCCAATCTGCTGCGGGATGTTCCGGCTGCCCTCGATGTCGGTGAAGGACTTGG